AATAACATAATAACAATAATAACAATGGTCAAAAGACTGGCACGCGGGTACAGCTCATGCTCTGAAACTTTAAAGCTGCCCAACCTACAACGCTTGTCAGATCGAAGAGAACACTACTGCTCTGACTTTGCCACTAAAGTGGAAAAATTTTTCGCTCCTTATAATAATTACTCCCCCCTAACCGTTGTCAACAGCATGGCAGAAATCTGCACTCGGTACCAATCGAAACTCCACTCGGTACCAGCGGCCCGTGCCCTTCGGGACTAAACGCTACATGACGAGCGGCATTCCTGCCTTGGTCAAACGGCTAAATGAACTGTGGCACACGGACTTATATAACCGTGTTGTTGCGAATCTACCCTATGTTTTGATTTTTTTTAAATACTACTCCTATTGAAGGGCGTATTCACGTGACGACCTTGCCCGGCGCCCCCCGTGCGCCGCCATGTTGACGTACATCCCCAACTCGGCAATGTTCTGCCTACAGAGTCCTTTGAAATTGTCTTTTATGTGTATTTGGTTCTGGAAACAACTCTTATACACAGATTAGTTTAAGGCTTACAGTGTTTCGAGGCGTAAAACACGTAGTTTCTGGATAAGTAGGAAGGTTTTGTTGTGATCGGGAAAGTTCTGTGTGGAGCGGCGACCATTTGCCGCGGCTATTCGGCTGGTTGAGGTTTCTGTTGGACACAGATATGTATAGCCGGTGTCTTTTCTGATAGAAATCCATCACAGAACTAATTTTACAAGTGCCGAATAAATCGTTTTTACGGTTCATCTATTTGTTTAACTTGTTTTTTTGTGAGGGCTCGCTAGTTCCTTCGTGCGCCGGCTCAATTATGTACAAGACGCGCTTACTACTGATAAATTGTAAGATTATCAGATCTATGTGCGCTTTACCGGTCCCAGACCAACATCCGACCAGGCAAAACACATTGATTATGAAGCAAAATTTTCTAAAGGAAATAGTTGGTGCGTTAGAAAATATTTGCCAATTTTACGGAGCGCCGCATAGTAACTAGGGAAGTATGGAACGGCCTCCAAGTGTACCTCAACATGGCGGCAGCCTGCTGGTCCGGCCAGTTGCAACGGGGCCAGTTACGCCCTATAAACGCTGTTTTTAAATGCAGGTCTACCTTTTGAAATAGATAAATGTATATATTTTGTCGAAATGTTTTGTCAAAACAAGCCTCGCAATTCAGCCATCGCGGCTGCAGGAAGCTTGTTATCATTAGTGTCCCTATGTTCTTGTTTGCTGAATAAACCAGTCTAAAATATGTGCGTAAACTATAAAACTGATAGTCACATTAACTATAGCTCTGGCTTCATATTTCTTTAACAAACAATTTCTTTTACGTTTTTCTTTGTTTTAGAACTTCCGTCTTGGTCAGCGTCCTCAGAGGCTAATTCACGTCACTCAGCTGACCGCGCAGATATCAACACCCGCGAAACTACCGATGCAGCAGGTGCATGGGCAGCAGCAACCAATGACCAGAACCAATGGCTGATGCAGGACCTTAACGACGTTAGCGTCATCACCGGCATCATCATCAAAGGCAGGAACTACAGCCCTGATTGGCCCACCGGCATACATGACCAATACGTCACATCCTACACCATTTCATACGGCGATGAAAACGGCGATGAGACGTTCTACACCGATGCTGATGGGCAAGTTACTGTAAGAATCATTCCTCATTTTAGTTGGATGGCTATCCACTAATATTTTTGCATGTTCAAACCGTATTCCTAAATTGAACAAGGAAACAGGCAGATGCTATAATGTAGCCCCAGATTCTGCGCATGTTGTCCAAAGCTTAATATGAAGATGGATTTCACTTTGTCGTGGAATGCTCTAAATATGATTTTTTGCGCAAGCAATTTCACATTTCTTCATTCTATAACAACAGATTTCAAGAGACTCAATGCTACATTTCAATATATTTTGATATCATAATTAGCCGCAATTATATTGATTGTAACACTATATCAAAGACATGTGCTAGCCTTTGCTGTTTTAGTAGTCTTTTAATAGGATTTTAAATTATCTCGTGTAACTTTTTTGTATGTTCATTCGTTCCTTTTCACATAGATTGTCGTGCAATAAACTTTTCGAACTTCTCAAAGTGTAAATGTGGCTATTTCTAAATAGGGCTTGATCTTCTTGGCATATAGGCAATGTCTTTATGTGCTGCAGGTTTTTCCGGCGAATGACGACAGAGACACGGAGGTCTACAACGACTTCGGAGACTTCAGTGGCCGCATAACTGCGCGCTTCGTCAAAATCCATCCGCAAACATGGAATGAGCACATCTCCATGCGGGCGAAGATTGTGACAGGTTGGAACCGTTTTAATGTCATAAGGGAGGTACAATTTTGAAACAAAATGCAGTTTTGGGTGAAATACGCCCCTAGGAATATGGAGACTTGAATGTGAACATTTGGTCAATTTGGTCAAATGCTCCGCCCCCCCCCCCCCGTGTACACTATATGACATCCAGTAGATTTCTAGCGGGGACCAATCATAGGGCTGCTGACGCGTCACCGACTAGCGGCTATTAGCACCTTGTTTCATGTAAATGCCATGAACTCAACCAGAGCGCGTATATTGTTTCTTGTTTACATCAGTACTAAGTACTAGTACTTCCACAATCACTTAGTAAAGTCATACCTTAGTAAAATCTACTTTGATGAACGAATCAAAACGGGACTGTAGACATTAAGTTTTACACATTCAAATGTGGCTGCACCAGCGCTAATGGAGCGAGCGACCACTACGTACGGGAAGGAACGGATCTTAGCGAAGCCGAGATTTGTGAACCAAACCCAACCCATCGAAGACGGGCCGCCAAACATAAAAATGGAGGGAATATGACAGACAACAAGCCAACAAACACAACATCACCAGACCAACAAACTTGGAAAACACCACTTCAAGCGCTAACGTTGTAAGAACTGTGGAACCTCAAACTAGTATGTTTGCGTCAGCGGAAAGGCTGTCGAAGTAACCACTACATGAAAAACTGCGGCGAAAAAGTAACATGGGTTCGTCCCAAATCTAGACGCAAGTGAGCTACAAAAGAAATAGAACCTATGCAACTTGCTTGTTGCTGTCAACTTACCCGTTAAAGATTGAACCGATACATGTACGTACTATAACTTGCCATACCCGGCCAAAGACGACTACATTACTGTTACTCTTTATTTTGTGCTGTATAATGTATATGCGTTACATTATCTATCATTGTCATTTCTGTGAATTCCTTAAAACATCTACTGTTAGTTTGTGTAACATTACGTAGTGCTACAATCTGCGTAAAAAAAGTGGGCTTCATTACGTGTTATCTGCTAAGTCGTGTTGGTATTGAAAACTGTTTTATTCCGCCGTTCTTCTACAAACAGTCAGCAGAATTATGAAGATACTCGTTCTCAATACACATGCTGCAAACTAAAGTAATGGCAGTCCTACGAAAATTCTGTTTGTAATGTATAAGCGCTTTATGTCGACGTACAATGGGTGTGAAATACATGTTTTCGCCCATCGTGTGCCACCGACTCGGTGGTAATTGGCTACTTTACAAGTGAAAGAACCGCGTCCGTGGGCCTTGATAAATTATTCAAATTATTCAGCAGCCCTCTGATTGGTTCCCGCTAGAAATTTACTGGATGTCATTCAGTGACGAGCCGCCCCCCCCCGTTCTTGCCGCCTAAAATTTGTGTCACTTCAATGCATTAAACTATGCATCAAGCCATGCTAGAAAAATAATCGATGCTCTAATTTAGTATTTTGACATTCCTTGGCAGAATATCTGAGGTCAGAAGACATCACAATGGATATCTCAATAAAAAAAATCTATTTCCAATGTAAATATGGACTATATGCAAAATCACCCCATTGCAAAAATAAGTTACAAATTCACGCTTTTGGCATTAAAAAAATACTATTGTGTAAAATTGGAAGTGCCCATTTTATATGGGGTATTTTGGGAAGGGTCCATTCCTGTACGTTGGGTCAAAGTAAGTAAATTGAAATTACGATTGGGATTATATTGTGAGTAAAAGTAGCTTTTCGATTGTCAATTTCTGCAAATTAATTTTGAAATGGGGAGGGAGATGGAGTGAAATGCATGATGTATTTCCTCACGAGTAAATGTCTGGTTTTCTCGTTGTACATGTCTTTTCTTTTTGGAATCCGTCGAATTTCAGCAACAATGAACTATACTGTCAATTGGCACTGTACTTTCTTTCTCTTGAATTTTGCAGATTGTGATTTTAAAGTGTAAATCTTAGGGACTACCAAATCACATAGTCACACATGTTCTTAAACTTTGTTAGCTGTACCAGGCGACTCACAGAAGATCATCTTCCCCGGTCCAAGAGGCATTGATGACTATGCCAGGATGGACACCACGTTGTCTGAGGACTTAGCAAGCTTTACTCTATGTGTGCACATGCGCTCTAACATGGATACCAGCAATACGATGAGCTTGGTCAGCTACGCAGTGGAAGAACAGCCCAACGAGCTCTTCTTTCTTTACGTTAATGGAAGATTTACAGTAAGTATACAGTCGCTTTCCATATTAGGCTTCTGCTGTCTATCGCTTGCTTATGCTGAATATGTTTGTCAAGCATAAGGATTCATTAAAAAATGAAATTATGACTAGAATGGAAGACAAATGAAACAACCTTGATCAAACAAGTTTGGAGGTCTGCATGAAAAATGTCGTATTTGCCCATACGAAATGGTCAGGTGCATAAAAACAAGAGTTCTGAGATCTCATACCTCCATGAAATATGGGCTTGCTTTGTCATACTTCATTTCAACATGTCCTCATTAATTATGAAAATAACCTGTACATTAACATAATATATGCATAGTGGTGCTAACCTTTAAGTAACTTACACATGTCACAAGGTATAAAATTCCCATCATTCACCACTAAAGAGTCACAAAAATTTCACATTAATTATGCAAATTAGGTCATCATTTGCATAATTGGTATCTGTTGATGTTCTGTCTGCCACAGATTAAATAGACTACATGTATAGCAGTACCATTATATAAAACACTGTAATTAAAGAATTTCCGCATTAAGTATGCAAATGAGGTCCTCATTTGCATAATTAGCATTTAATTATGTACAACTCTCTCTCAGATACCTACACACCAAAAATGATGAAAATACATTGTTCCAATCTGGACTTATTGGCTTTGAAAGTTTTTACCAGAAACTAACCTGCAGTTCCAGAACAAGCTGCTAGGGGGACCAAACTTACACCACTTATTCCTGACAGGATAAGCTATCTGTCACCAAAAAGTCGGAAGTTGTGCTGCAGTACCAAGGTAATCCACCAGGAGGCCCAAATTTGACCTTGACCTTTGTCTTTCCAAGACTTACCAACATACAAAATATCATCACAATCCATAAAGGCGTTCTGAAGTTATGCTGACCACAAAGTTTCGGAAATACACACACACAGACAGACGGACAGACAGACACGCCAAAAACAATACCTCCATTTTTCATGGAGGTAATTATTTATTAATTATGCTAAATATCTAATCATTTTTAATTAGAGTCTGTTAGACTTTACCGCCACAGATTATATGTGTTATAAGTTAATAAAGTCCCAGATTGTAGTAGAGCACTGGTATCAAAAACTTTCATTTTAAGTACTGGTATGCAAATTAAGTCCTAATATGCATAATTTGCATCCGGTTGTGGACACTTCTGTCTAGACTACCTATATGTCAAACATAATGAAATCCCGTTGTTCCTTTCTTGATTTATCTGGTTTGAAAAATTTCGCCAAAAACTCTCCTGTAGTTCCAGAACAAGCTGCTAGGAGGACCACGCCCCCTCCTCTTCCTCCTAACATGAAAATCTATCAGCCACTAACAAATGAAGACCATAGCATGTCCAGGATGAAAGATACATATAAAACACTTTAATTATAGAATTTCCTCCTTAATTATGCCAATTAAGTCCTCATTTGCATTAATTTGCATTTAATTATGCACAACTCTCTCTCAGCTACCTACACACCAAATATCATGAAAATAAATTGTTCCTGTCTGGAGTTATTGGCTTTTAAAGATTTCACCAGAAAGTCCCCTGCAGTTCCAGAGCAAGCTGCTAGGGGGACCAAACCCACACCACTTATTCCTGACACGAAAAGCTGTCTGTCACCAAAAAGTAAAATAGCATGTTCAAGACAAAAGATAAAAAAAAACGGAAGTTCTGCTGCAGTACCAAGGTCATCCACCAGGAGGCTCATATTTGACCTTGACCTTTGTCTTTCCAAGACTTACCAGCATACCAAATGTCATGATAATCCATAAAGGCGTTCTGAAGTTATGCTGACCATAAAGTTGCGGAAACACACACAGACACACACACACTCAGACAGACAGACACACACACAGACAGACAGACAGGCAGACACACACAGACATACATACAGACAGACGCGCCAAAAACAATACCTCCATTTTTCATGGAGGTAATGACAAAAAAAAAAAGAAATGGCAAGAGGAGACGGACATGGGAGAAAATAGATATGTTTTATCCATACCATGGTATAAAGTGAAATTTGTGTTTGGAAATCTTTTGACTTATAAATAAGCAAATGTCATTTTTACTCCGTGAAGGAGGTCATGACCTCCGGACGGAGTGTTGTAAGTAGCCGTTTGTTCGTGTTCGCAGTCAAAACACCAGTACCAGATGTTTTCCCTCATGCTTAAGTTGTTACCCCGAATAAACAAGATGTTCGCAGCCAAAACGCATTGTTCTGTACGTAGCATTTCTGTCTAATTGGACATGTGGTGTACCATTATGTCCGTGATGTCTGTCCTTTTTATTTTCACCGTAGCAATTTTGATATTGAAGTAAATGCATATTTTAGTAACATCCCTACTTTTACAATCCTGTGGAATAGACCGTAGGTTCAGGTAGTTGTCTGGTAGCAGAGGTTTTCTAAGCAGATAGTAGGTGGCTGTTGTGCATAATAGTTGCGAGTATCTTTTGGCATTGTAGTTTGCATGCCTACTGCGATACCTTGTCAAATGAATAATATGTAGTAAATGAAAGATATTGTTATGATAGATGACTTTGTTCATCTATTTAGATTGTCGTGTTGTTGATTTTATGTAGCCTGTGTTTACGCTAGTCAGTCTGCAACTATTTCCCCATATCACACACTGTTTACATACACTATTACTTTCCTCGATATGCAAAATATAAAACTTCACAGACAATTGTCGCCTATGGACACTTGTTTTGTATTTAGTTAGCCTTACAAAGTGGTAGCATCCAAATGGCTGACCCACCAGTTTGGGACGGTGAGTGGCACACCATATGTACTACCTGGCGCAGCAGTGATGGAGCCTGGCAGCTGTACGCTGACGGCACACTGACGGCTTCAGGATCTGGGTTTAACGTGGGAGGAAGAGTGCGCACAGGCGGAACATGGATCCTCGCCCAGGATCAAGACGTAGTCGGGGGAGGATTCGCCGCAAGCCAGTCATTCATCGGAGAACTGTCGAACGTGAACCTCTGGGACCGCGTGCTGTCACCAGCCGAAATAGCAGCGGATCTTAGTTACCATGGCAACGTGATTGACTGGGCTACAACTGGTATTGAAGTCTTCGGACAGGCCAGCCTGGCTTGCAGTAAGTAGTGCATGCTTATTAATATATGATGTTCTTTACAGTTTCACAGATACTGCACAGGTGTGTAATTTGCACGGAAATTGCAGATCCACATGTATGTAAGGTATCGACACGTTACGTTATATGTGGCGTATTGACTAGCTATTAGTAGTTCTGTTTACTGACGCTGGATATTACTGGTTCACTAAGAACTGAAGCTAGGTGTTACTGGTTCACTGTGTACTGACGCTAGGTGTTACAGGTTCACCATATACTGAAGCTAGGTGTTACTGGTTCACTGTGCACTGAAGCTAGGTGTTACTGGTTCACTGTGAACTGAAGCTAGGTGTTACTGGTTCACTGTGAACTGAAGCTACGTGTTACTGGTTCACTGTACACTGAAGCTATGTGTTACTGGTTCACTGTACACTGAAGCTATGTGTTACTGGTTCACTGTGAACTGAAGCTAGGTGTTACTGGTTCACTGTACACTGAAGCTACGTGTTACTGGTTCACTGTGAACTTTATCTATAGTACTGGTTACAATTCAGTCCCAAACGTAAAGTAATTGTGACATACATGAGTATTGTGACAACATTGAATATAAAATATAATTTCAAAACATGCAAAAAATGCAAAGCAAGAGGAACACTTTTTAGGAAGAATAAGCCAGCCAAAATGTCTGTTTAATAAGTCGCAATACATGCAGTTGATGTAAGGATCAGTTGCCATTTAATAGAACCGTTATAAGCACCTTTAAATGTTGTTTTAGGCTTATAAACACATCTAATCACCTGATGAGCTTTAACCCACGATGCTCTATATTTTCCCAAAATGAATTTTTACACAGCACAAAGGTATCGTTTGGCGCAGTGCCATCTAGCGGTGAGAAATAGTCATTACAGCCATGTGGGAAGTTACAAAGATCGCAAAAACGATACCTTTTGATTTGTGTAATAAGGATTTTATTTAACTGACTAACCATCCCAATTAAGTATTTCACACAATACGTACCAAAATGTTGCTTGTAGCATGGCCGACACAATGCCAAGTTGCATACTCGGATTGTAATGTGGAAGTCACCAGCGAGCAAAATTCGCCCCCAGACAACCAACGATGTCATGTCAAACTTGACATCCATGAAGGAATCCGTAGGTAAATCTATGTTGGTTGCTACAACTATATTCCACTATTTCTACTAACTTCGTCTGTAAAGGTACGTGGCATGCGTGTTCCATCATTCTGTACCTCCTTACGATGTATTAGGAAATTCTTAACCTTTTTTTTACGTAAGTTACGTTTTGGGTTGTATCTTTTTCAATACTTGCTGTGATAAACTACTGAAAGTACTAGTTTTTTGCAGTATGTTCGCCTTATGCGTATTTAGGCATCTACATTTCTCAGTGTTTTATAATAGGTCATGGGTGAGATTAAATACGCAGCCTTTATTAAGCAAATATTAAGGTACAAAAATATGGAAACGATTTCTCCCCACAGTGAGAGTAGTCCACTTGTTGTGCATCGCACTGGAGATTTAACCATACATGGCCTTGTGTTCGTCGAAGACTGTACTGAACACTACGGGGTAAGCGAAATGATACTTCAACTTGGTTAAACCATAGAAAAATTGTCAACTTTAATCTTCTTAGATAATTCAGAATTATAATTGAATTTGAAATTTGAATGATAATTCTGAATTGAAAATATAGGTAATAAATACATATATTTTTATTATAAAATGTAGTTTAAAGTCACCGCTTTATCTGCCATTAAAAAAAACTTTGACCAAAAATTTCCCTCGGTTCTGTTGGAATTACGGTGCACAAACTACATTACGTATCATGATAGACTTTATTTAGACAGTCTGATTGCTTTATTTGGCACATAGAACTGGTTTTATCCTCTATCAACAGGCTTATGATTAGATTTTTGTTAAGTTTGTTTCTTTCGGTATATGAAAAAAAGACCCTAGGAGAAAGCATTAATGAACTTAGTGCATACAAAGGACCGTGGCGACCAATCTGGCGACCACTGGCTCTGACATAATGCTTCACTTCTCTCTGGCCCTTTTAAAAAACAAACCATTTAGAGTTTAAACCCGAAAAAATATGTTTTGTAATTTCATATAAAATTGTTTTTACACATGTTTTATTTCAAAACTGTGAGTCAGAGTGAGGGTTCACCACACGGCCCTTGTTGAACTGTCTTTTGTAGATTATTTAATTCCATATGGCATTTTGAATATGTGAAATCATTGGCGCAAAGACTACGACTTTTCAGCATGGAGTAATTTTGATTAACAATGCCCTTATAATTTAATTCTTTGTTACTTTTATCAGGAAAACTCAAGTGACGCCATGATTTCTTTGTATTACTAACTAGAATGGTACGCTGCACATAACGTGTGCCTGGTCTCACGTTATATGTAGTGGGCCGTATCGTTACATTCCGTGGATGTAACACTTGTTTAAAATAAACATATCCATTTGTTTGCAATTTTTGGTTGTGAGCACTCTTGATTTAATACTTACATAGCTGGACATAGACTGGAGCGTCTGGAGTGTTCCCACATTGAAAAGTTGTCCAACGGCAATGATGCCATCATTGTCCAACGCTTTACCAGAAGGCATCTCAGACAATGAACTAAGACTGCTTCTTGGAGCAAACACCATGGACCAAGGCCTCTATATGATTCAGGTTTGCTGTTACTTCCCATACCATTGCACTGTTTAAATACACATGTCTTCTATATTTAGGCCACCAGGCCAGCGGTTTTTCGAATTCGAAAACTTGCAAATTCTGTACCTTGATTTAAATGATATTCCTATAATAATAAAGGACAAAAATCAGAGATCGTAGACTTCCAAAAAGTAGTCTCAATTATACTATGATTATAGTATAATTGAGACTATTTTTATAGCAACTTTTATAGCAAGTTCACAGAGGGCGTTTTGGTGCACTTGTTTGGAAATTTTTAGAAATGTA